CTCCCCCTCCGTCCACAGCTCACAGAGAAACAAACTGTGAACTTCAAAGAAGATTCTTACCAGCTGAGATTCCTCACTGCTTTTTTCTTGTCTGAAAAAAAGAGTTATCTTCTTGATATTGAGTAGATAACGATCCTGAATTCTGGGGGCAGCTCTGTTAAGCTGCCGACCGGCGACAGGCCACTCCCCGGAAGTCGTTGTTGTTGTTCTTGTTGTTGTTGTTGTTGTTTATCCCAGAAGCATTCTCTACTCTATAAGAACAATCTGTTCTCCCTGAGGAATAGGATTACTTACCATATCTTTTTATCTACATCTTGCGGATATACTTTGAGCCTCTTGTTTCCAACTTGTTGTGGCCCATCGGCTCTCAGCTAGCTGCAGAGTCAGACAAGGAGGAGGTGGAGGGAGAGCCTGGGCCAGCTTCGGAGCCTTTGGAAGGCTGTGATAAGGAAACAGCATGAGAAATAGAGGAAGAGCTGGGGCCTTCCATCTTCTCCCAGGTGGAGAGGCAGCGGAACTGAGTGTGGGAGAGGAACAGATGGGATCCATCCCAGATGCATGTATACCCAGAGAGGAAAAGAGAGGAGAGCAAAGGAAAGCAATAAGCTGGCTCTCAGAGAAGGCAGACACAGACAATAGCCAGCCCCTCCCTGGCTGGGAAATAAATAGGAGGTGTATGGGAGTGGCTGGTTGTCATAGAAATCCGTTCGCCGCTAGTATACAGCAAGCAATGTGCATTTCTTGGCTAAACCCACAATTGTTGGGACTAATTATGTTTGATTTTTGGTTTATCCATGTGAATAAAAGACTGTTACTGCCCTGTTATAAAAACAGGTTTGTTTTACTCACGACTAAATGTCTTATCACTACTTGGGTCAGAACACAACTATGTTTTATTTGCAACATGACTAGATCCTGATGAATCCAGGAAACTGGATTTTTATGCTGATATAATCAATCCTTGACCAGTCTATGTTCCCATGTGATCTCAAATATAACTGTTCTATCTGAAAGAGAGCTAGAGATGGGTGCAATTCCTTTCTAAATAAATTCAAATGCATGTGTCTTCTGTTTTAATAGAAGTTTGGAAGGTTTTCATTACAAATGTATTATCTTTCAGGTGCTGAGCAACAACGGATAAATGTTGCTCCCTCTTCAGAACCTTTTACTAACTGGAGAGCTGTATTATCACCAACATGGCCTTCTAAAGAACTTGAGTCTTCCTCAGTGGGTGACATTTCAATGAGGCAAGCCTTGGAGAATGCTAATTTGCTTCAGATAATAAAAAGTACATTAGCGGGAACTCGGACCAGAACTATGGACCAAACTAGGCTTTTACCAACTCTCTATCAAGGCAGTGGCAACAGTGCATCACAGGAACCTTCTGAGGTATCAACTGAATCACCAACGAAGCCTCAGGAAGCTGATGAAATGACTATTGTATCAGGTTTGCCTCAAATTAGTGTGCCCCCTGCATTGTCTACATCATCATCAGTGACACATACAGCTACTACTTTGTCATCTCAGATAATTCCATGTACATCTTCCATTTCAAGTGAAATCACATTAAGATCAAACATACTTCCAAACTTTCCATTATCACCCCCTTTGTCTTTGATAAAAGATACTCCTCATATTATTGTTGTTTCCAAGTCGTCTGTGTCATCTACCAAAATGCCTTCGTCCATAAATGTGAAACATTTACTCAGCACAAACACAGCTAAATCTAACTCGAATAAAAAATCAGGAAATTCATTGAGCACAACAAAATACGTGTTACCCAGAAAGGTTGGCAATGAATCTTGGGTTGCTACCCCCTCCTTTAGTTATAATTTTGAATTGATTAATAAGTATCCCATAGAAACAGCCAAGAGATATAGATATCCAAAGGATAGGAAATGGCATCCATTTGCTTTCCGTGCATTAATGCCCAGTCAGATTTTTGATGTACTACCTACTCAGAAAGCTGCACTGAGTTTTAGGAAAAATAATTCTTTTTCTGAATTAATTCATAAAGCATCTTTTAGACCACCATTCACAAGTAAACCAATGGATATCACAACATCTCTGAAAAAAAGCAGCATGTATGTAACCACATCATACCCAATTCTTAAAAGCAGGAAAACAAGTCCGTGGATTTCTGCATCAGCTCCACATATCTCAGGTGCTCTGTCTTCATTATCAGAAACCATTACTGGTGCGTCCTCTATGATAACATCAATATCTACAGGAGAGAGAGCATTAATATCTCCTGAAAGTCAAAGGCTTTCTCATTTGAATAATATGTTTTCCCCAACAGTACAAACAATAAGAAAAGATAATGCAATAGTTCAAATACCAACATTGGCAACTGTTCCCACCTCCTATACAATGGATGAGGTTCCTTCCTTAATTATGAGGACAAATTGGCCACCCTACATTGCAGCTCATTCTACTGTTTCAACCTCAGATCCTAAGTTTGTTTCAGAGACTAATTTAACAAATTCTCACATTACAGAATTAACCTGGGTTTTAAAAAAATATACTCCTGATAGAAATTATGAAGCTACTGTATGGCCTCCTAATTTTTCTGTGGAGAAATTGTTGCAACAACAGTCTTTCACAAAGGATTCTACAGCGTTCACAGTTCTTGGTGCAAATAATATCCCTCTATACTGGTTTTGGGAGACACCGCCCACAAAGTTTCCTTTAACAATTCCGGTCAGCAAACAAGCACCTTGGCAAAAAATGCTTCCAAATGTTTTTTCACAAGAAAGAACAACCTTTACAACTTTTCCAGTTTCTTTGCCAAATTCTTTAAGAGACCTTTTGAAATCTCACTCTACTGTCACATCTATAACTCCAGTTAATGATTCTATGAAGCTAAAACCAATAGAATCTGAAGAACAAAACCCATATCTTAGTTTAACAAAACAAGAGAAAAATTCAATAGTATTGAAAACTTTAGGCTCACATTCAAAACATTTATCTCAGCCACTTTTCAATAATTCTGATGATGAACTTTCACATATGGCTGACACAACTTATAAAACTGCTATGACAACTTCAGACGTATATGATTTGGTCTCAGTTATCTCATCAGATGATCATTTGAGAACCCCAGCAACATTTTCCATGGGCCTTACTGATGACACTTCAGAAAGCAAGTTAGATATGTTAAATAAAGCTTTAGTTCCTCACTGGGACAATAGAGATTGGCAGTCCACTACCGATGGCAGGGCATCTTTAGGAAAGAAGACAACTCAGATATTCCTAACCACAAAAGATATTGCAAGTCACACATCTTTAGAAAGAACATATTCAAAGATTCCTGCCTGGAAACAATCAACAAGTTATGTAAAAAACAAACCTTCAGGTTCTTCAGTAGCATCCATTAATACAACTGTAACATCTGCTCGGCAAGTTACAATTGTACCTTTCACTAAAATGAAGTCTAAAGGTTTCTCAGAATTTAATATACCGTTATCTTCCATAGAAACATCATATTCACCTTCTTTTCAAAACCAAAGTACCTTGTCACAGATCACAAAAATGCCATTATTACAATCAGAACGAAACATATATGCATCTCAAAGTTTTCTGAAAAATTTCACAGTTGGGAATACTAATTTCACTTCAGGTTATCAAAAGCAGTCCTATTCTACATCTAAAAATTTCTCAGATACTAGCACTCGAACATATAACCTGGATACATTTTCTACAACTTTGTCAACACATCCTCATTTATGGCTGTCTACTGACAAATTTCACAGGACACCCAAACCTCAGACAAGTAACTCTGAAAAGTTGTTTGCCTCAACAAATACATTTTACACCTCACTTCCATTTTCATTGGCTTCTCAGTTCATTACTAAATTAACTGTTCCAGTAAATAATGAAGTTAGTACAATTAGTAATAAAAAAGCTCCCCCTAAATCAATTGTAAGCTCAGTGCCAACATTAAATGTCACTGAAGAATACTCGATCATAAGAAAAACAATGGACTTTGTAAATAACTTTAACTTAGAAACACATAATCAATTGGGCAAACCATCTACAACATTAACTACTAGAATGTTGCACACAAACAATAAAAATAATGCCCAAGGTACAGTTAAAATACCTAATGAGATCACCACAATCACTCCATTGCAGACACATACCACTTTTGCAGCTATCATAACTTCTAACCATGCATCACAAACGCAGCTAACTTCTTTGTTGCCAACAACCAACTTTACTCATTCTGTCATTACAGTGTTACCGTCTGTGTCTCCTGGTGTATTATCATCTCTAGCAACTTCAGAAGCAACACCAGTTACAGGAAAATCAGCTCCAACATCACCAATGCTGACTTCATCCTTGTTCTCACTGAGTACTGACAATTCACCATCTGTGATGGCATTAAGCACGTTAAAGTCAACATTAGCAAAAAATAACACTGTCACAAAAATGGCACCAACTTTAAGCCCAGTAGTAATACATGCAAATTTCCCAGTTGTATCAAGGGATGGTTCTGTAATATCTGAATATATCACTAGTTCATCCCCAATTCAGAAATTTAATACAGCTTCAGTGCCCACAACACATGCACCAAGACAAACTGAAACATTACTTGACACCAAGAAATCCACAAGCCCAGACATCAGTAAAACATCAACTGCATACCCATTAACAATGACAGCAGCTTTGACATCTATTACAGCATCAGCGAAAACAGCTAGACTTCTCCCTACATCTGCTGAAAATGCTTCTGTTGCTGCTACTGAATCAGCTTTTGTTAATGTGACAACAGTTCTCCCTCTGGAATGCCAGCTGTCCAGAAATCTGCTTGTTAAGACAGGTATGAACATGTGTACATTTGGATGCTAGATATTGATTTTCATTATGAAAGTATAATGATTATTTCAGGATTTTTTTAAAAATTAGCATAGAAAGTGAAAAGGATAACTACCATATTTTTCGGAATATAAGACGCACCGGATTTTGATGCACCAAGATTTTGAAGAGGCAAATAAAAAAAAAGATTTTGCACTCTGCAAACCTCCCAAAAACGGTCATTTTTTTCTAAAAATGGGCCTGTTTTTTTTTTAAAAACAGGCTTGTAGAGTGCTCTTGGGGGCTGGGGACCCAAAACCAACAAAAACCAGCCCATTTTTCGTAAAAATGGGCCTGTTTTTTGTCAAAAAAAAGGACATGCATAGCCTTTAGGAGGCTTATAGAGTACTTCTAGGAAGAGGGAGGGGCAAAATTGAGCATTTCTGCCCTCCCCAGCACCCAGGAGCACCCTCAAAGCCTTCTAAAGGCTATGCATGGCCATTTTGGTGAAGTGGGTAGGGTTTCGGGAGGCAAAAATTGCTGTATTCAATGTATAAAATGAACCCAAATTTTCAGCCTCTTTTTTGAGGGAAAAAGATCCATCTTATACTCTGAAAAATACGGTAGGTGGATAGATAGTATTTTTTAAATCTTTTTTTTTTTTACACAGCATAGCTCAAAGTTCTTAAACTAGTGGTGCTTCCATTAATGCTGAATGGCTGAAAAGTCTGCTTAATCTCAAGGCCAAGAGTTATCTAGTACAGTGGCCCCCAACCTTTTGGGCACCAGGGCCTGGTTCCTTGGAGAGAGTTTTTTCCATGGACCAGAGGAGTCATGGGTTCATGGGCTTCCGGCATCCCGCAGATGGGGCTTTGCTTGTTTGTGCGAAGCGGTTTCTGGCATGCTGTGGACTACTGTCAGTCCGTGGACCTCTGATCTAGTAGATTGAGAATGTTGGTATATTACATAGATGGGCACTATTTGATGGGTAAGGGACAAAGTTTGATGTCAAGGAGTTCAGGTAGGGTATGTCCATATTATGCACATAGGAAGGGCTAGGTTTGGGGAGATCTTTTTCTAATTCTGATATCCTTGTTATAAAGATTCCCTTACAATTTTCTTTACTTTCTCACCTTGAAATAGCAGGAAACTCCTTTCAGGTTTTAACAGTTTTGCATTCGACATGATGCCACATGTTTCCTAATTGTGTGAGATAGAAAGCGAACTGTCTAGCAAAGATTTTACAAACATACATGGTTTGTTCATCAAACTTAAGACCTTTATAAATAATGTTACTGCCTCATTCCAACCATCAACTTTCTTTTAACTGAAACTAGACTTGGAATCATATTGATAAGAGTTCAAAGACACAGGTCTTTAATGAGTAAGGTATTACAAGAATTATTGAAGCAGTTAAGAATGGGTTTCAGCAATTGCTCAGTATAAAATATAAACCCTATTGTTAATAAATTCAATATTTATTATGTCTACCTCTTTCCCCCACCCATGTATTGCTGGTGGCTTGAGATCTCCTCCTTCAAGGAGCAGTTTTCATCTGTCCTCTTAACTTTACCTTGTTTGGTTCTGATCTTGCCAGAAGTCTTATACCTTCCTAATGTATAAGCTTATTAGGAAGATCTTAATTTGAACTGTATGAGAAGCATGCCTTCCCATGATTATGGGTAGGATTTGGGAATTGGGAACATTGTGTTTCTAGATGGGAAATTATGTCTTTGATTCTAGGCTTCTGTTTGAACATACTATTACCTCTGTTCCTGTGGATAATCTATGCCTGGAGATAAAGGATGGGACCAGCTAGGGAACATTGATTTCCTGAACCTCCGGATTCCACAAATGGCATTTTCTAAGGTGCTGGCAATATCAAGATCTGCTTAATTCCCCTGTATTGTCCTCTTCTTCCTCCAAGGCAGTTTTTCTCAAGCTGGCTCCTAGATTTCTGAGAGTTGCAGTACATTTGGAGAGTTCCAGGATAGGAGAAGTTGTTCTGAGGTCACACCACCAGATATTCTATTCATGAGAGCATTTGATGAAATGGATCCAGAACAATTACAAAATTGGAATCATGTATAAAAGCCAATTTTATTAAAAGGCCAAAATAAGGAGAGAAGACTTTGTCATCAAGTAGCAAATTAGGAAACCTCTATGAGAAGCTGCAGATTCTTTTAGGACAGAAATATTGCTCTAAGAAACGTTTATCAATAAGGATTTCTAATTATTTAATTATGATTATGATGACATAGTTGCTTTTGTTGGTTTAAAAGATTAACAATTAATAATGGTCTTTGACTGTAAATAATAATCTTTACCTGAGTTCAAATTTTCAGTACTGAATGTAAATTCCCTTGCAGAATTCAGTTTGTTTATAAATTATATGGCCAGGCATTGTAATTTGGAAAAAGAAATGGAGAACAAAGGATACTTGTAAATAAATATGCATCTTTACATTCTAGTATTGTTTCTGAATACAAGAAGACTGCTGCTGAGTGGCTCCTTGAAACAAAATGTCACTAAAGGTCTCACCCTGGCATTGCGTCAAGCTTTCAATCAAAATGTCAATGCACAAGTAAGCAAGTGTGGTGTCTGTTTTATAATCAGATTAAGGACACAAGCTAAGAGTTCTTTTTAATATCTTCATGAAAATGTATAGAATTGGCAGAATTGTTGTGAATTACAAATATGAAAGCAAACTATTTTTATTTACCAGTTTCTTTTAGAATATATTTCCTTGATTTTAGGCAGATCAGAGCAGGAGCTTTGATAATTAAGATTGACAAATCTGGGCAGTTTGCAATGAACAATCTCTGGTTGAAAATGCAGTGTCCGGAATGGAACATGCAACTCATTCTAGTGAAATGGGACTTCTATTATTTTAGATATATATTTTAGCTAACAATTAACCAGTGGACTGGTTTGCCTTCAGAAGTTGTGATCGCTCCACCACTGGAGGCTTTTAAAAAGAGGTTGGGCAGTTAATTGTCTGAAATGGTATAAGGTCTCCTGCTTGAACATAGATTTGGACTAGAAAACCTCAAAGGCTCCTTCTAACTCTGTTATTCAGTTAACACCAGTTAATTTGTAGGTGAGGCAATAGACAAATCTGAAAAAGGGGAACACCATACAAAATTTACTTCCAGAATATTTAAGGAGATACAATAGAGACCTATTACTGTTATTAAGCTGTTCTCTGGTTTGCATAATATTTCGGTTTCTACAACTTTAGTATCCCTTCCATTTCTGTTTTTCCGTTATTCCAAAAGAATAATGGTCTGTAAAATGCATAGTTAGTATTCCATTCCAATGTTCCAGTATCTTGTAAGACAAGCTCTTAATTCATATTTGCAAATAGTATAACATAGAACCAAGAAACTTATCATATGTATTTTGCTATAACAACTTGCATTTTTCCAAGACATTGTAACTGGTGTAGAGTTAGTAATATAGGACTAATGAATACTAAATTAGTCAACAAAGGGAATAATCCATTTGAAGTAAGTCAAGTCACCTAAGGCCAAGTGCTTTTCATTTATGCTCATTCTTCAATGAGTTTAAATTATTCATAATTTTATTGAAAGGGCAATTTTATCTTGATCATTTCTTTGAGATTAACAGTTTAATCTTTTTAGTTCCTTGAACAGAAGAGTCATACAGTTCTCTTAGTGATCTGAATCAAAAGTCTTAATTGTGAAGAATATGAAATGCATATTTATCTTTTTTTATTTTTCAGATAGAAATTCTGGAACAATCAAACAATGTGACAGTTGGTTACTATGTTACTCAGGACAGACTCGTTTTCATACCTGCTGTGGTTATTGAAATGCTAATTGCTTATGGTGTTACTAATGCCACTTTAGATATTAGGAAACATGTGCCAAATCTTCATTCTGTTGCTGTCTTAGCCTTGCCATGGAACCCATTGCCAGCATATCATTTTCAGCTGAAAACAGGTAAACTTTCTCTAATGTACAATCTCAGAGGTAATAGGGTTATATCTGTTAGTACAGCTTCCAAATTTCATTGTTAGAACAGGAAGTAAAAAGGTCTTTGTACACCCAAGGTTCTTCTAAATTGGAGTGGGGAACTAAACTTGGCCCCAAAGACACTGTGCTCCAGTAATCAAAATACATTAGAAGTGGGTATTCCTCCCTTCCCTGTTTAAGGCTTGTTCTTCTGTCAGATAGTACTTGAGAACAATTGGGTCAATCTGCCCCTTGAAAATTAAGAGAGTGGCATTTAATTAGATAAAATTAGCTATTTTAATTGTCACAATGAATTAGCTAATAGAATTGCTTAAATTTGTTTTAAGCTACTAGGTCTGAAGCAACAAAGCACACTTTTTTATATGTGTTACATCATTTGATTTTTGTTATTCTTTGTATCACACTATTTTCCTGCTCTTTAAAAAAGTTTTTAACACTCTTCAAAAAGGTTCACAGAATGGTTAACAAATATCACTATTAAAAGTGTCTGTTTTACATTTATCATCTAAAAACATGACACAGAAAGCAAAAGAGTTAAAGAGGAAGGAGTGAAAAAATCCAAACAATAGTACTGATATCATAATTAGTTGGATTAGAATTGATTTACTTGAAATAGAAACATAATACTTCATACTACTAGCATTACTAAGGTAGTCCTCAGGTTGTGACCAACATTGGGAGTGGAATTGCCATTGCTAAGAGATGTGGTTATAAAGTGTGATATCACATGACAACATCACATAGCGACAGCAATCCCAGGCACCCCGGTTGCCATTGTAACTTCAAGACATACAAGTCATTAAGCAGGGAGAGGTAGGAGCCTCAGGTAAGGAGTGTGGGGGTGCTGTGCGGGATGGCTGACACAGGTTGCATGCAAGTTGTGAGAGGGCTGGCATAGGCTGTGTGCAAGTCAGGGGAGGATGTGGGCTGATGGGGAGTATGGACAAAAAGTGGGAGCAACTTGTGACTTTTTTGCTGGCTTCCCCATTGACTTTGCTTATGGAAAGCCAGCGGGAAAGTTTGCAAATAGTGATTATGTGACACAGCTTCCTATGACTAATCATGAACTGGGCACCTCAGTACCTGGATCATGACCATGTGATTGTGGGGGTGCTGCCCTGGCCAGACATTTGAGGACTGGCCATAAGTAACATTTATTCAGCACTGCCATAATTTCAAACAGTCACTGAACTAATGGTTGTTAAGCAAGATATACTTGTACTATATATTTAATGCTCTGTTTTAATGCCATAGTATGATAATCTTGTGCAATGAATTTTTTTCTGTTTATTTAGAAGTAAGTTTTGCATTCAGTGGGCTTAATCCTGATTAGTATGAATGTGGCTGACGTCTGGGCTTGGAGCTAAGCATAGCTGGGAGAGCTCCATGAAATATCAGGCTAGGTAGGGCAGTAAAAATCATTCTAGAAGAAAGAAATGGCCAACCACTTCAGTACTGTTGCAAGAAGACTACCTGTTTGTGTTGATGAAGTCATCAGGATAAAGTCATCCTAATAAAAAGACGTTAATGGAAAATGGATGCCTTGGACATTATCTCAGGGGACATATTACTTGGAAGCTTGACAATACGTTTGACTTGAAGAGACTTTGTTCTTCAAGATATGTGTAGAGTTGCAAGTTTTAACAAGGCAGAGAATAAAATGCAATGGCTCTTGTTCATCTAGAATTACAGTTTGTGGATGAATCAGACAACGTACAGTCATGCAGATTTGTTCAGACAATGGAACAAAGATTGCAGAGGGCATTTCAAGATGCTGAGAGGAAGGTCTTGAATACCACTAGCAAATTAAATATTCAGGTAAAACCTCTTATCTTTATCAAATTATTACTTCGTACAACAGGTGAAGATTCTTTGCAGGTCTTATTTTTATCATATTGTTATCAGTATAATTGGAAGGGCAATATAAATATATTATATTATTACCATTTATTAAGAGAAAATTCATGATTCATATGACAGTTGTAATTTATTATTCATTTATTTTATTATCCATTTATTATCATTATTCATTTATTTAATAGGTTTATATTCTGCCTCCTTTTTTTTGTACAGAAGCTCAAAGAAGTATTCATAATGCTCTTTCTTCCTATTTTGGTCTGAGAGACTATGACCAGGCCAAAGTTACCCCAGTAAGATTTCATGGTTGAGAGTGGACTAGACTCTAGGTCTCCCTGTTCCTTGTCTAACACCTTAACCACTGCATATATGTATGGAATCTTACTTCCATGTTTATATAAACATGTAAAAGGGCAGCTATTCTAACAAAATTGTATTTCATTTCTATGCATCTCTCACACTTTTCCGTTCAATAAGCCACTTTCTTCGGAACCAAAAGAATATTGTTGGTGGATCTCAAGGAATACTGTGTGTGTCTGCTCTGACAAACAGAATTTGAGATTTTGAGCTCCATTTTGTATTAAAAAAAATTCAGAAATGTAGAAATTTATTTATCCTCTCTGCAATTATTTATCTGCTAAGCAGATTGCATGAATGAATGTTGATGATGGATTGGATGCCTGCCTTTTCTTGGTTTTCTTTGTGTTTATTTTAGCCTCCCAGAGTTGTGTTCTACAAGATGTGTGGCTATATAAATATGTTAAATGAATGAATGAATGAATGAATAAGTTAGCTAGCTGTTGTAGGATTCCCATGCATAGTAATTAGCAACGACAGGATTCATCTCAAAGTGGTCTCCCTAAAAAATTACAAAAAGAACATTAAAATCCTGTTCAGTATCTGCAAAACCAATTGAATTGTGTTAACTGGCCAGTTCACAAAACAGAGGGCACCAATTAAAGTGGTGTCTGTTTCCACATTTAAAAGTAATTTGTAGTTATTATTGAAAGATTAAGAATATAGTGGTAAAATTTGCTGCATTTCTCAGATGCTGGTAAAACTATACCAGTTACTTTTATTTCATGGATATTGGAATCTTTTAAAAACTATAACTAAATAAAATATATGTGCCATCATAATTCTTTTTCCCCTAAAACCACCTACTGATTGATGAAGGAATCTTACAGCAATGTGTGTTACTAAATGGAGCAATGGCAGAATTCAATTATCATTTCAAACATTTTTCCAAGTTCAGTTAATTATATATTCAGTTCCAGATATGTAGTCGTATTCTATATACTGAGTGATAAAAATCAAAATAAAGTTTGATAGGATCCTTTCTAGTTGACTAGTCATGCCAGAAATCCACAGGGTCATGCCAAAGGAAAGAAGTGTCAAAAATTTGGCTTGATAAGCTTGACTGGCAGAAGTGAACTGTTTCCTTTGTGTAGAAAGAGTATGAATCATATACAGTAATTGCTTTATGAAAAAAAAATCCTGAATTCAGAACAAGAAATAATTGATTTGGCATTTGAATATTTTTATATGAGCAAACTGATCTATATTATTATCAGTTTGAACTTTCAACACTTTTTAGTATCATATAAATATGTTCCTTTTGAAATATAATTTAATGATACTTAGAATAATATACCCTCAAAGCAGATAGAACAAGAAGCCAGCAATGAAGAAGAGTGATTAGGAGTGATTGGACCTGATACCTGTATATTCCCTCCCTTATATGTTTGTCCTTCATCAGTACAGAATCTTGTAATAGCATCTTCCTATCATAGATGAGATCTTTATCTCATTGTATTAAATCTGTTTGAGTTTTCTTATATTTATAAAGTGCCTGTAAGCAAGAATTTGTTTGGTTGTTCCTTCAATTCATGCATGATGCACAGCATATTTTTGGGGGCATTTTTTAAATTAATAGAGATGAGGAAGAGTTATGTGTGCTCTTTTGCTTCTTCTTTGAGCATCAAGAAAGGATGGCAGTCTTGTCTGCCCCAGATGTTTGCTGCAGGTCTGTGTAATTAGACTTGCATAATATGCACTGAAAGCATGTGGTAAACTTTGTGGGCATAACATTGCTCTGTTGAAAATGGCATTACCATGAAGACAAGACACATTTCCCATTTGAACTTCCTCCACTCCCTATTTGTTTTAATGGAAGAAACTTGAATGAAATATTGTCTCCCCCGTGCATGGAACATGCCATTTTTACTTCTCCTGCTTGTTCCCTCTCCCATTTCCTCCCAATTCTACTTTCCATAGTATAAAATTGGTTGTAATTTGTATAGTTGATAGTTCTGCAGATTAGATGGGTGGGAAAAACTATAAGAACAAATGAGATTTGAATGTTTTGAATGCTCAGCTCTTAAAATGTAAAAATGGAACAGAATCAAACATAACAACAGAAAAGTTACCATTTTCTTTCATATATACAGGCAAAAGGCCCATCATTATAAATATAAAGAATGTGCTTCCAAGATGAGTTTTTGTTTGTGAAATAGAAATATTCTTTTCTACTGCCTGTTGGGTTGGTTGGATTGTCTATCTAAAGAGTGAAAATACCTGGGCGCATGTGTCTTTTACAGTAATAGCATGATTAACATTTACCCTTGATCTTTGCACTATTACAATAATGGAAAGAGCAATAAATCAAAATGAATTTATCCACTCTGTCTCTATTGCAATTGTTTTATTTTTTCAGATCCTGAACACATCAAATGTGTCTCAGGCTGTCACTCTGTTTTATGTGGTGAGAAATGAAAGTACAGTCTTAAATGGCACAGTTTCAAGCAACCTTCTTAATCAGCTTTCAGCAGAACTAGTGGGATTCTATCTTACTTTCCCACCGCTAACTATTGCTGAAGGTAAGTCTTCTTTACATTACTCCCTATTTTATTGTTCTATCTTTATTTTATTAAAAAAAGTTAAAATACAAATTCAAAAAACTTCAAAAGTTTACTTTAAAAAAACCAAGAAAACACAAAACAAACAAAACATTAAAATGCATTGAAAAAAACCTAACACATATTATCCTCTCTATAACTATTTTTATAGTTATAATGTATACTGAAGATGGCATTTAATTTCGTTGTATGAGGTGCAATGACAATAAACTAAACTAAACTAGATGAGCACTGATTAATATATTACAACAATATTAATTTCTCACCCCTCGGGAAACAGCCCCCCCCCCAAATTTTAAACTGCTAAATCTATTTGCAAGTTATTAAGCCTGTCATGCATATACTATGTTAACGACCAATTAGTTAACAACAACAATAATAAAAAGGTAAAATTAAAGTTTCAAAACCCTCTCTTTGGAACTGTTGTTGTAATCCAGGGGTCCTCAACCTATTGGGAACTGGGCCACCAAAATGGTGGGTGAGCATGTAAAACTTCATTTGTGCTTGCGTGGGAATTAGGTTGTGCACACTGCTACCCATCCGTGGAACCAAAAAGGGACCCCTGTTGTAATCAACTCGTAGAAAATTTACCAAGGCATCTATCTCCAGCTGGCCCAAAAGATAATAGTCATTCATCATGGATCAAATATGTTCTTTACATTGCCCTAATACTTGGTAATCATTCATATTAAATGAGGTTTCAGGTGATGATAACCCTTTGCTGGTCTTGACTGATCCCATAAAGCTAAGGAGGACTTCATTTGTTCCTCAAATAATAACAATAAATAGTAGAGCTGCAGGCTAGATTCTTAAAAAGGTATTCTGGGGAAAGGAGCAATTTATTTTCATATACTGCCATGACATGGACATGGACAGAATCAAACAGTCACTAAGAGGTGAGTTCAGTTCAAGAACATATTTACTAATAACTGATAGGCTATTTGGAAATATTTAGTATTTAAGAACCATTGATTTAGTTTGCTTCAGATAACAAATGTTAGTTTACTTTGCCAACCATCTTTCCTTAAAAGTGAATATAGGAAAAACCTCTTTTTAAAATGCATCTGAAAAGAAATACTGAAGGGGCTTAATAAAATTAAGTAGTACCAGTTCCCCAGACTGGTTTCTAAAGTATGTTATGAGGTATATGAAATGACTATTCAGTGACTTTGCTGGCAACCAAATTTTTATAAACATTGAACAATAGATTTAAAAGAACAATATGTATATTCTCCTGTACACTGCTTGGAGAGTCCAAGCTGTGGGTTATTTCAGTCTGGTTGCCCTGGAACTGATTCTAATCAAGTGACTTACTTTGTTGCAAAATATACTTTAAGTTGGATCCATTTCTATTCATTTGTTGATGGAACAAATTTTTCCTAGTCTTTCAACATTATATACACCAAGAGGGGTTTTATACTAAACTTGGCACTTATGAAAATCTTTCAGAAATTATACCTTTTCATATTTCTTTTCATTATATTGCAGCCCTCTCCTGTTCTTTCACATAATATTTTTTTTTGCTTTTTTGCTATGTTATCTCATAAATCTGAAGAGCATACAAGGATGATGATTTCTCTTTTGTAAATATTAATCTAGAAAGAGTTTATTAATTTGCTACTGCATAATTTTAATTTATTGGTAAAGGCACGGAGCATTTTCATACTCTCATTTCCCTTTAGACAGTAAAATCTCCTTCATACATGATTTAAAAAGTCATAAATAGAATAAAATTGCTGCAATGAAAAATACTTTTGATAATTGATTGCTCAAAAAGATGTTTCTTCTTACATGGCTCATGTGAATATTGGCACATCAGTATACCTGTATTTTAAAATAAAATGCTGTTAATATTGCATTAATGTATTAATGAATGAATTAACATTTATACTGGACATATTATCTGTATGGATATGTATTGTTACATACAGTTATGGGTTTGTTGACTATGCACATCAGCTTTAACCAATCCAGATTGCAATTTTCATTTTCCCCAGCACGGCCAAAACATGTGGGTTGCACCAATTTGGAAAATAATTATTTATTGAATGTTGTGTATTATAACCTGCCCACAATCTTGAAGGGCTCTTTGTGGCTTAGAGCAACCACAGAATAAATCATACTCCAAGGTAGATGCTCTCATTCAGTCAATCAGGGATGAAAGCTCATCAAAGGAACAACACAATTTTAATTTCTTAATAGAATATTGACAAGCAGGGGGCTACATGAAGCTTTATAAAGAAATTGGAGTTGCTGCAGAGGAGGCCTACTGCTTAGTCTAAATATCACCCCCTGGTTTAGCGACTGCGATCTATTCCTTAAAAGGAAAATATTATTAAGCACAATGGTTGCTAAGTAAACACACATCTCTGAGAGAGGGAGAAGTGCTGTAAAGATCCCTGGATGTTGCTGTCCCATTCAGTATTGTCTCCCACAATGATATATACCTGACATATTTTCTTTCTTTTCCCTCCTTTTTTTTTGCCCCTCGCAGGGTATAGAGATTGCTTAAACAGACTGTTTCTTCCTGAAGCTGCTTTTCTGTGCAATATAGTGCTTCTCTAAATTTGCTAACATTTCACAGTGAAGGTTTTGGTAGTTATGCACACAAAATTTGGTCCTAAAGGTGTGCAAAGGTCAGAAAATATATTTTTTAATTTACATTTGTATTTGCGAACAGTTGTTAAATGAGGTAGCCATTAAACAAAGAGTGGCTGAACCTCATGAACCTTGCAAAGAGGGGGACTTTAACAGTTTAGAAGACCTGCCTGGAGGGGAGAGTAAATTCTGGTCTGAATGAGCATTCTTCTGACTAGTTTTATAATGACTTTTGTCTTCTCCTAGGCGCTGCTTGGAGTGTCCAAGCATGGGTTAACTTCAACTTGCTGCCCAAGGACTGAGTTCAAGGTTTGTGTAGCCATGCCCCTGCTCCCTTTAGAGGCTCAGTTTAAAAAACTCAGTCGCCCTAAAAGGATGNAATACTATGCCATAAATGATTTTATTTAATGAATAATGATACATTATTATCATTAAAAATTAATGAATAAATCATTAATTTAATAAATCATTACATTAATGATTTAATGAATTTACAACAGTGGAGAGATTTTAATTTAAAAATTACATTAGATTGGTAGCCTCTAACAATAGAAGACTCATATGCACACATTCTTGTAATATGTTCTATATTTATAGTGTGTTAGTCCTATGCTTTTTTTTTGTATAAATGTCTAAATAAAATTGATGCTGTTGAATATAATTGTGTGTGAGGGACAATCTATTTCTTTGTGATAGAGCATAGTTGGTGTGCTTAGAAAAAACCTGTCAGGTTTTCAGTTAATATAGGAGAAATAGATTTTTTTTTTAGACTGAACAAATAGACTAGCCTTTTCTAAACTGACATTCCTCTGATGCATTGTGAGACTAGCACCAAGAATTGCAGTCTCTGTTCATCTGGAAGGATTTTAGATTGGAGAAGGCTAGAGAAAAAATAATTCAGTCAAATGGATCATTGCTCTGATTCATTAAAGTAAACTTTATAAGTTTATTTCTTTCCTTTTCTCTTGATGTATGCAGCTGTAGTTAAAAACCCTCCCAACAATTTATGGATCATTGCAGCAGTGCTGGCTCCCATAGCAGTTGTTACAGTCATCATCCTTATCATCACAGCTGTTCTATGCAGGAAGAACAAAAATGACTTCAAGGCAGACACCATGATGAACTTGCCACAAAGAGCCAAGGTAGGCTATTTACGTCCTAGGCTCAGGCATATGAATTTGTTTCTTTAGATTTAACGTTCTTCGTCCATGTGTGCAAGATGAGTTAATTGTGCTGTGTTTAGACAAGTTTTACCAAGGCATTAATCTGTGTTCAAAGAAAGATTGAGACCATTCCTACTGACAAGAACTAGCATGATTGACATCTGAAAAGGCACCACTTGTTTTTGGTAATTGGATGAAAATGAAGTAAATATAGGCTTGTTAAGTGTCCCTGATTCGTAGTAAGAACTNCCAGCCCCTCGAGGTCAAACACAACCTTGATGCAGCCCTCAATGACATCCTTGGTGTAGACACATAAAGTAGTACCTTGGGACCCCTATTGCAGTCTAGAAGGGGGTCTTCAAATCTTGTTTTCATAAATCCGAGGCCATTTTTCTCCAGAGTATCCTCTCGTTCACTCATTTTCCAGAGAAGAGTCTTGTGGCAATCCTGTTCCTTGAATAGTTTGACCTGGCAAGAAGGCGTATGATGAAGAAAGAAATACTTTTTTCAAAAGAAAGAATTTATTTAGGGTTTTTTTTTTTATAGAATAATTCAGTGAGTGTTATTAGTGACCTAGAAGAAATTGGAAGGAAGAAAAAAAGAAGAAATGAATAATTGCTGTCTCGAGAGGTTGATTTTAATCACTATTAATTCAAGAACTAATTGCTCCCTCCGCTCCAGGAATTCTCACAACTTCATAGAGACAAGCTCTCAATGAATGTAATAAGGAATCTATACTACAGCAAATTTTACTAATCCTAACTTGTGCCTAAATCTATAGTTGTAGCCCTGTTGCTTCTGTTTTGGGAAAATATATTTTCCCCCTTTCCTTGCTTTCAGTTGCTTCTGAAGGACAAAACTCCAACTACAAAATACTCCTTTAAAAAGAAAGCCAACCCTAAGAGAAGGAGACTATTTTCCTGATTGGCTTCTGGACATGATTTTCCCTGCCTTCTGTTGTCTCTGCCCATTACCTGGATGAATAGGATAGTTAACTTTTTTGTAACCCTTTGAACTGGTTTTGAAGTGGGTTTTCCTCACCTTCACTATAATCATATTTTAGTTGTCTTTTATTTTTACAGTTACCCAAAACCTGTTTAGCAAATTCTGAAGGGAATTATGACTTCAGTTTTTATGCCAGATAGGAGTAGCAATAAATTACATGTGGGGCTTGATTTCCAAAGAACACCAATTCATATATTTTCTCCGGTGCACAATTTATAATGTTACCTTATAAAACTTATTTGGAAAGTATAGATGACCTGTGTGATTTTCCCTTTGTATGTGAACTTGACAATCTGATTCTGGAGCTTATTGAGACATTTAAAAATAAGGAATACTTGCATGCAGGGATTCCTGGTAATAAAACAAAACTGACATTTTGCAGATTTTTGGCATAGCACAAGAAAAAAAGACTAGTTGAGTATTTAATTGCTTTCTTTCCTGTTTTATTTTAAAGCCTTGGAATATCCAAATCTCGATACTTCAGAAGCAACTAGAGATTTCTGGGTGATTACAGGTAAAGGATTATTTTTTTTTAAGACAGCATTTTCCTAATTTTCTTACCTTTAATTTTTTTTTCACATGAGAGAACCTTGACACTGTGAGGACTGTTAAAATGAGCATGATATCTGCCATTTTTAGGTGACTTCGTAAAGTATTAAATCATCTGAGACTTCTGCAAATTATTGCCTTATTCAGTTAGTCCTTTGAAAAAACAACTATGAATTTCATATCCAAAAATAATACGGGCAAGGTTTACAAGTTTCAGAATCTTAACAAAAATAACAAGGTATACAAAGTGTTGATTTATAAATACGTATTGGCCATATATACATCTGGCTGTCTCATAGCAACATTCTTACACTGTTTCGCTCAGCATGCATATGCGAAGGGTTGATGTTTTTTCCTGCCAGCTCTCCTTTTTCAACAATCTGCCCCCTACATACCAAACAACTCTACCAGTGAGATTAATTTCCTGAGAAAATCCAATTTGTCTAACAGAATAAAAGATGCATTCTTGGAAAAATACAAGAGGGGTTTGTTTATTTTTTTTCTTTTTGTGTTTCCTAAATCCTAGAACACAGCAGTTAAGAAAACATGAACAAACTTACTATGCATGGTTAACTAACAGTTTGCAAGTTGGATATTTTCTCTGCTCAAGAAAGTAAGAATATGGACAATATTTTTTTTCTGCAATGCAACCGTGCTTCAGCACAATTCATTCATGTTGCAGTTTTGTGGAAAAATGTGGAACTTTCTAAATCTGCAGGTTTTGTACAGCTGTGCTTTGGTTTAAATTACTTCCACAGAGAATATTTATCTCCTGAATTGAAACAAATACTTTGTTATGTAGCTGGTTACTTCCAATTTGTTTGGGCTGTAACATCAGTAGAAACCAGTCATTTCTTGGAGGGAGAAATATTTCTTGTGTTTCTGTGATTCCCAGTGTAAATCTAATGGGATCCCTGTTCTCCATTTCTCAATAAATAAGCTACAACTCTGTTTCTCTGGTCTTTTAGAGACCCCCCCCCCCTCTTTTTGGTACTTTCAAGTATTGTTTGGGGTTTTAAAAAATATACAATATTCAATATAGCATAGGAAATGTACATGTGTGCAGGTACTGTTTGTAATTTCACGGTGACCTTTAACAATTGTGATTACCCATGAGAACATTTTGTCCACATTTTTATGATCATTTTTAACATGGAAATTCATTTTAAAAAAATTGTAATTGTCATCTGTTCGTAATTTACAACGGCAGTCTCCACATGGAAATCAATATTTATCTCTCTCATTCATACACACACACACACACACACACACACATATTAATCAAAATAAAATGATTCTAATAAAACAACTATTTAACCTTTTAGAACAGAAGTGAAAAAGTATATAATCTTCTAATAAGAACAGCTATAAAATGGTATAAGCCAATGTCCACATTAGGATTTGTTGAATGTGCTTCCAAGCCATTTTTCAATAAAAACATTTTACAAATATGTTGCAGGATTAATATATATTTTAAATTCAAGGTCACAGGGTACTTGTACACGTGTACAGGCCCTATGCTGGATTGAATATTGTACATTAAAAATCACACAACACTTGAAAATGTTGAAAGAAAAATATTTCTAAGCGTATATGTTTATATATCATTAACTCATTGCTGCAGTATGTATTTTCCTTCTATTTTTTGTAGTTTTACTGGGAGTTGACATTACATTGCTGGGGGTGAATAACCAAAGTTTTGCAAGACTCATGGAGCAACGTTTAGCACCACTGTTCATGATGTCTCATCAACAAGAAAGACGATTTAAACGAGCCACTACTATTGGCAGCTTTACTGTACAGGTAGAGACAAGAACTAAAGAAAATTGTTAAGTTTCTCCTTCTTTTGCAGTATTTTGGGGACTATCAACCAGAAACTTCATATTTTTACACAAACGTTTTCTGTTTTATGTAGGTAATATGAAATATTGTACCAAATATATTAATGTACCTCTAGCACACATAAATAAAGGTATTCCAGGTTTGGGGGAGGACTTTCCCCAATTACTGTTCCCTCTATTAGTTGGTTATCTGATTTGCACTTGGTTGCATAAAAAGAAAATCTAAGAGCAAGATCTTGTTATTTAGTGTGTGAACCTAGGTGTCTGATCTGTTTTGATTGGAGCAGAGTTTATGAAGCACCAAGAAGTTGTAATCACTCAGATTAATTTAGTACCTAGAAACCGAAACGCAAATAAATTTGCAGGGGGCTATTATGTGAACATAGATCAAGTGACTTTCATAGATAACAAGACAACAGTGAAAGTTCTGCTTATCCTGACAGGTGAATAGACTGCAATACAAATCCTGGCATTTAGTAGGTTTATACTCCTGTGTACTACAGAAGACAAATTTTGTATGTTTATTTTTGGTTCATCCATTTCTCTCAATAAATGAACTAATCCAGCCAGGTTTTGTTTGTGAGCTTTCTGCCAAGGAAATCAATTCCTAAACAAAGAGTTAGTGTCTGGAATACTGAGATTTGCAGCCCTGTCTATGTATAACTTGTCAATACGGGATACAAACAAGTTTCCCACTGGTATTTCTGAACTAAATAACTTCCTGAATATTCATGAATGTTGCAGATTTAATTGAAAATGTAATTTAAATGTACAAGCCTATTTACAAATTAATGTTGTTTTTTGCAGGATACAGAAATGAACATTAACCTTACAGATGTAATTGTTTTCTATGGTCTTTATTTGTGTGTGTGTGTGTGTGTTTTTAAGATGGTAAAAATGCAGCGAATTCCAGGTCCCCGTGAGCCTGCTGAATTGACTTACTATACTTTATACAATGGGAAACCTTTGTTGGGCACAATAGCTGCTAAACGTTTGACTACGGTTGATTCACAAAGGATGGCCTTGACCCTAGGATATGTTGTTCAAGTACAAGCTGATCGTAAGAAATATTTTCTTTGCTTCCCTCTTCCTCTTTTAGACGTTTAATTGTAATTCTTATGATTATTATGAAAATGTAACAAAAACCTTAAAGTGCCAGGGCTTATTAAAATGTTATCTTCTGTAGTTGCTTATTAGTTGCTTTTTTCTCTTTGAATACTATATCACATTCTTTAGAACAATATCATATGGAATATCTTCTGAGAATATAGGATGCATGTATAAATATGTGTGTGAGCGTTTGATATGCTATTATAATTTACATTGACCTTTGGATTATAGGAAGTGTAAGGATGTCCTAATGTTTGCCTAGGTGAAGAATTAAAAGAAATCTTAGATTCAGCCTGTTTCAATGCAGTAAATGTGACATGGACTCTACAAATATACAGTCTTGATTCTGGATTGCATAGTGTACTTTCAATCTATTTTAGTGACTTCTTTCCTGCTGCCTGTTGTGATTTTTGTTTTAGATTCATCTAATTTTTAAGAAATTGATAGATGAGAAGCTGCATGCTGTTATATTTGGTAATAAAAGATCTATTGTTTATATAACAACATTATTCCATATCCTGCTCATTTCTCAGAAGTCAGTGTGTGTGTTTGGATTGTCAATCTCCTGTCTTACTGAAGAAAGAGATGAATGATTTTGAGAACCTATGTACCTTCTTTGCTCTTTCCTTTACTTAAGCAAGCAACCTATATCTACCCTTAATCACAACAGTTATCTAGACTTTTCTGTAACTTTTTGTTATGTACAAAATGAAATGGTGTAATGATAAGCTAGAGTTTAAAATTGTTTGAAATTGGTATCTTGTGTTTGCTTATTTGGAAACTGTGAGGAGTAGAATAGATAACTGAATTAGATAACTATTGCAGTACTTGCTGGTATAAAGGAGGATAAAGTGGCTGAATAAAACAGATCAATATCTGAACTTATTAAGCCTAGATTCTAATACTCTGAAGTAGGTCAACATATCTCCTCCAGAGCAAGGCATTTTAAAATTACAGTTAAGTATTGGCTCTTTGTCTATAGTTTCATCAAGACTGAAATTATGTATATCAATTGTAGACAAAGAAAGAAGTGTATGATAAATTATTCTAACATTGTAGATAATTTCTGTTTATTTCCACATATTGCAATGTATTCTAGATTGCAGAATATAATGTATTCTGGAATTCATTCAATTACTGTGTTTCCCCGAAAATATGACCTGTCCTGAAACTAACGTCTTGTCACATTTTTCATGTGCGCAAAAATATAAGCCCACCCCCAAAAATAACCCCCCTGGGAAACCTGGGGGGACCTGCTGGAAGAGTCTGTCTGGAAGACTCCAGCTGCCGGCCCACAACCATAGAGTGCACTCCTAGAGCAGCCGCTGCTGGAAGACTTGGCAGCCGAGTTTTGGAGTTTGGAAGCCGGAGAAAAAGTTATGCTCGGAGCGTGGCGGGGGCAGAACAGGCGCTCGTGCAATCCCCTCTCTAGCCGGGCAGAGCTCCATGCACTGACCTAGGGGGTATCCCGAATATGCCAACCCACGGGAGCTGGGGAGCGGGCAGAGCGTCACGTGCCTTGGCGCCTTAGGGATACCCCCTAGGTCAGTGC